GGTATTGCCAGAGACCTTGGCCATAACTAAATGCAGTGTTAGGTTTATCTGCTTCAGCCGTTTTCACTTGATGGAAACCCGACTTTAAGTCCAGAGTTGAAACCACCTGGCTCCACTTAGTGTGTCAAGAGTATCATCAATTCTTGGCAGTGGGTATGAGTCCTTTTTGGTTATACTGTTAAGAGCCCTGAAGTCCACACAGTAACCTGGCTCCCATCCTTCTTCTGGACTAACACGACGGGAGCTGACCAAGGATTATCTGATTTCTCGTCTATCCCTTCCTTAATTAAGCCATCCATGACCTTCTCCATCTCTTGTCACTTTGCTGAAGCTATTCTCTTTATCGGACAGTGATTGCCAGTGTTTATTCTGTGCTCCACAAGGTCCGTGCAGCCGAGGTCATGATCTCCTTTCGAAAATACGTCTGCATAATTCGCCAAAAGTTCTCTAACCTGAAGAGCCTGTGATGATGACAAATGGACTATACTCTTCTTATAGAAGTCAATTAAATGTTCTGGAAGTGCATGTCCTTTCTTTATAGTTGTATATCTTGCTTTAATATTGACTGGCTCTACCTCCTGGCACACACCCAACAATTCCCCTTCCTTAAGTGTCTGCTCACATTTATAGAAATTGGCCACTGTTATAGGCACTACTTGATGACCTGCCACAAGTGACCTTCCAATCTTCAAATCCGCTGTCCTGGATGGGTCTTCCACTGCTTCCACAAGCATTGGACTTCCTTGGGGATGTTCTTTTATCCTACCCCAAATTATTTTCTCTGACATAAAGACCAATGCATATTAGGGTTGGACTACTTATTACCGAGGAAGTGTGTAGTTAACTTCGATAAAATGACGATTGGAAACAACAAAGGCCAAATTTCAGTAAGTGTTGTTGCATCTGTTCATTTGCATGTCACAGCACTTAAGTCAACTACAATACCCCCCAATATCAGCCAAGTATACTTTGTGTCTGTCCTTTATGCCCATGAGCTCAATAGTTACCCACACTGGTCCCCACAACATTGCAGAATGTCCTGTCACACCACAAAGCTTCTGTATGGCTTCTGGTACTCCTTCACGATCTAACACCTTGATGCTCACAAGGGTTTGCTGAGACGCAGAATCTATGACAAAGTTGCACTTTTGGCCATCCAGCTTTCCTGTCACATAGACACTATGTGCACTTGCCATTTTACACTTAGCTGTTGGGACTTTCACAATGGGGGTCGGTGGGCATCACTCAGTA